TTTGAGTATAACAACTGCTATCTAACAACTACAAATCGCTTCCTGTCGCCCCACCCCAACCCCTCTAACAAGGAAGCCGACACCTTCCCATATGGAAATACTCACGCATGCTACTAACACAATTTCGCCCATATTGGAAAAGGCCTCTGAAGCGTCTTTCCCAACCACATACAGCTGCAGCTATGGGAATCCACCGCAATCTCAAATAAATCTCTCACGTTAAACCAAGAGATTGATTAGAACCAATGAATAATGTACGACCGACTACCAACAGTGAGCGCGTTTCTCAGCTTTCACATTCGTAACCACTAATTATCTACTTGACCAATTACACGGTTCGGCGGTTGCTTTCGAAGTCGTTTGGCGGGGCGTGGAAAGGTCGTTCCCAAAATCGTCCTTGCCGGAACTTCGTCCTCCGTAGTCCTAGTTAGACATATCTACCACGCGGCTGTCACAGTGGACGCCGACACACAATCTGGCGCTCCACGAACGAGATCATATTTCATCTTATCTGCCCGTTCGTTAACTACGACTCTCACGCCGCACGAAATTGTAAACCTTGTTATGCTTTTCCGTGAGTTTCTGCACTTTTCACACCTCTCTGAATTCTTTTAGTTTCCGTCGCGAGACTTCTAAGCCTGAAGCGCTCGGATCCACGCCAAAAGACGCAGAGAAAAGGCCGCAAGTGTCCCATATGTGAAGACGTCTTCGCGCAAGGTTCATTTCGAAGAAACCTACGTGCTCGGGCTCATGATAGTCATTATCGCACTATTACAATCTTGACAATGGATGGGCGGCAACTTGCGACAGCCTCATCTCACCGAGGTCTTCCACTTACGCACCCCACCATCATCATCGCCGCCCACCGCACTACGAGGTCGCGGTCTGCCGTTCACTTTCGCGTGCTGGATTCCTCTCAAGATCTGTGAGCACCAAAATTTTTGCTCATTCAAAGTGCCGAAGTCGAAAGACAGAAGACTTTCGTTCCTCCCCAATCTCCACTACTCTGAATAAAAATGAACTGCAACAGTGAGAAAATGTTTTCCTCATAACGGCTCGCAATTTGAGCCTGATAACCTCAACTAACTTGGTCGGAATTTCTTGTTTCTCATAGTTAATAAGGCATTACCGAGATGGAGTTCCAAGTGGCTCACAGGGAATATTTAACCTGCACTCTAACTTTCTGCCATCGAAAAGCTGGAGAAGCTGCTCAAATTCAAAAACTATCAACCCCCACCATTCGACAATTCACTTCCCTCTCCCGAAATCTCACCGTTCAACAATTCACTTCCCTCTCCCGTTCAAAAGAATAGACTTAGTCATTTTACAATGCATTTCAGCCAACGAAAGAACGCCCCCATGTCACCTTTGACTCTCACACTTTTCTGAATTTGTCACCTTTCTTAAGCACTTCGATGTCCGCTGCCAAAGCGCGCTCGTTTGCGTGATTGTTCTGACGCCGTCAAATCCCAATGCGCGAAAAAAAACATGGCGATAATTTTATGCAATTTTTATGAATTTTTGAGAATGTGGCTTCAGCCAACGTGTCCGCTACAACAATTCGAAAGCCTGCCATATCGGAAAGTATTTCCGAAAAAGGTAGTGGATTGAACGAACACTTACAACGTCGCTTTGCAATCTCTTCAAATCGTTCTAGATTCCACATGTTCTTTTTTTCCACAAACTGCAACTTTTTCTTGCAAAGAGAGAATGATCTTTTGTCTATTTTCACCTAAAAGATTCAGCAGCGTTTCCTTTGCGATCCTTTGCGACTAATGGTAAGCAAAGAAAATGAAAAATATGTATTGCTGGGGCGGGAGGGGGGGGGGGAACGAAGCTCTAAGATGCAGCGAAGAACAGCTGTAACTTTCATGACCTCATGAATCACAACTCACAGTCATCTGCATAGTAGTTAATTTTCATGCACACGTTTTCGAAGCCTAATTCAAACAATTCAAAGCATTCAAGAGCATCAAACGCACGCTTTCATAAACGCATCGATACTTTGGTTTGCCCTGACGGATCAACAACAAAACAAGCAAATACAAAAGGGCATCCAAAAAAGACGTTTGAGGGATACAACAGCCTCAAAAGAACTTCTGCCCTCTGTTTTCGTTGATACAAATGATAGCAGAGTATCGTATAAACCAATTGGTCATATTTCGAATGAACCTTCTTTTGACCTTTGCTAGCTCAATTAACGATATGCAAGATGTGTGACCATAGCATGGCCATGCTCGCTAGAGTTCAAAGGTTGTCTTCCTGATATTTGCTACGATTCAATCTTTTCTGACTTATAGGCCGATGAACAGAGACCTGCACGATGTTGCTAGAACATTTACTAATGCCCATCAGCCCAGCCATAATCACATCTGAATTTTACTACACCATTCTTACTCCAGACTCCTCCAATTACTGCCTAATGAAGTCTCTGAAGGCGAAACATTTAGGAATTGTATCGATTCTGATGTTTCTTCGTTCCATTTCACCATACAATTTTATGTCACTACCTGATATCAAACTACTCAATTTCCTTATAAGCATTACAATGGTTTAGTCAGCGCTCACAAAAAAAAACCGCACTCACGAAGATTCTCTTCCCGTCACATACAATCACTGTTTCGTTTCTAATCGAATGCCATTCACTTCCAAATTCCAAAAAAAATCCGAAACTTAGTTTTGCTTCCATATCATCAACACTTGCTTGGTGGTTGTTAATTGAACCATCATGTTCTTTCTCACTACGCAGACAGATCAGCCGTCGGCTCTCGTGGGCACATTGAGATGTCAGATGCGAAAACCACGCAACTGTTCGTTGTCCGCTCACAAACGCCACTAAATGCCCTGCTTCAGCGCAAATCTCACCATCAGCGCATTTCAGCAGACCGCGACTAATAAGCCAACTGTGGAGAAACGATGTGACAAGACGAGATGTCTTTCCATTTTGCGCTTTATGCCGTTTCCATCTGCCTCTACTATATTCCTGGTGCGGCGTCAAGCTTTTCACGAGCAGGGACTGGAAACGCTACGCTCAAGTGCAGGTTCGTCGCTTATTATGTCGATTTTCTTTCTCTATGAATAATTTCTCCCAGCAATTTTCCATGACTATACAGGTAGACTATGTACAGATTATGCAGTTCTTTTCAATGTTATGATTTTGAAGTTACTACTGAGAATGAAAAAATAACAGCCTTAATCGGATCTTTTATGCATTCCGTGGACAACAGGGACGGGGGGAAAAGAAAATTTTCTTGCTTGCTCTTGCTCAAAAAAAAACATTGACGAAATTTAGAAGCCAAGATGTGGCGTCCATATTGGATTAGGCTTATGTCCGAAATCAGCGCATAGTTTTATACCAACACAAATATATCCTGAGCCGGGAAACGTGAAGAAAATCCTTTTTGGAGGTGCTCAGCAATTTCAAGAGGCTGAGAAATTCTTTGTAACCATCCAAATCCTTTTAACGGTACAACTGAACTCCCTCAGTCTCTGAGAGGAAGCGGTGTAATTTTTTGAGGCGGGGTCTCCCGTAGCAAAATCGAATTCTCAAAATCCTTGAATCAAGCCGAGTTCCTTTTCTTGTCCTGTTTTGTTGTTGAATATTAATTATCTATGATCGCTGCAAGACGAAACCACATCTTGTTAAGTTGTCGGTGTATTCTCCATGTTTGGCTCAGAAAATGCAAGAAAGATGAACGATGTACAGCTAAGCGTTGTAAATTCAAACAGTAACACAGCCAAGTGGACATTAATTTTCGCTCTTCGACGTCAAGATGAACCTATATATTTGACCCCTGCCGTATCTGGCTTAAGCATTTTGTGCTCCTGTCGCGGCACCCCTTTCCATGTTCAAGCGAATCCGTCTTATACGCGTTCTCCAGCGAATGAAGAAAATTTTGGCACATCCCATAAAAGTCCAAAAAATTAGCAGTTAAGCAAAGAAAATTGGGATGAAGTCGAATTCTAAAATAGGAAACGCTAATGGAGACGCCCTTTTCATTCCTAAAAAAATGACCGGCTGAGATAAGATTCAGTGAGAGGCTGACAGCTAGGAATTTTGTCGACTTCTGTTTTTGCCATATTTCCGAGATTTCTTAGGAAACCTTCCGACTCTCAAGACGGATCCAGCCGAGGGACTCTTAAATAACATTGTTTATCAGTCAACTATACATTTACACAAAATTCTAATTGTCAAATATAGTCTTCGAGAGCGTTGCTCATCACGGAGGGTTTTATCCTAATCCTCTTCAAAAATGCCAAATTTCTTATATCGATCAATTTTCGGCAATGCAACAGAGTGATGGGAGGATGACTCAGTAAATAGGGACTAGGGTGAAGTGTACTACTCAAGTAAAAAAGCTGCGCAACATACAATATTCATCTTTACCGAAACCGGTTCCAGATTCACGGAAGCTTCTGACGAGACATGGCATCAATGCGACTGCGTGCCAGTGGGGAGCGATGGTTCCGTGCACGTGATTTGCAGACAAATGTTGGCCTCCACAATACCTTCACTGCCGCTCGTCGACTATCAACCTCAACCTCCTGCAAGTATCGTGGCTCTGTCAATGACCGAGGGAGGACTGGCGTTCGTGCAGCAGGATGCTTTCCGAATGCACGACATTCAGGCACTGGACTTCACCAACAATCAGATTCAGACAGTGAATGTGAATGCCTTCCGGGGATTAGAGGTTAGCTCTATTAGTATAGACCCACTTGTCTTCAAAAGGCGTTTTGTGACAAGAGATTCGTTCAGATGAAGCTGACCCATCTGAGTTTCAAACAAAACAATCTATCAGTTATTCCATCGTGGGCGCTGACGTATCTGCATCACTTGCAAGTTTTGCGCCTCGACGGCAACCGAATCAGTCATATCCGACCGAATACTTTCGACGAAACCCAACTCAATAATCTTCACTTCCTTCACTTAGATAACAATCAGGTAATTAAATCATAGAAAAGTTCAACTTCAGAGAACGTGCTGTGATCGAGAAGTAGAACTAAGAATACAGAAAAACGGGTAAATGCTCCATAAATCGATATTTTGCAAACTGAATTGCAATGGCCTTGCCTGCAATGCCTTCGACACTTCACGGAGCTCATAGAACTACGAAAAGAAAGAGCAGAAAATAATTGAGTAAAAATTGAAAACATATAATTGTGAACTATCATCATTAAGATATCAATCATTCCAAACATGGCTTTCGCTAGACTACGACTCATTGTCCTTACTTTGTCAAACAATCGTATCACACATTTGGAGAAGCTATCTCTGCCACCTTCGCTGAGTATTCTTGAATTGAGGAATAACCTACTCACACAGGTAGGAACTTTCAATATTTCAGTTTCACGATTTAAACAGAGAAACACAAGACATGTTAGAAAAATATCGGGGGGATCGAAAATGATGAAGCAGTGGAGTTTCATAAGTTCTGTGTTACCTGACATTTCACAAATGCCCTACAGGGTGTGTATAACTCGTCAGCTAATTTCATAATGCAAAGAACCAGATTCAGCTCATTTTCAGATTCCTTACTTGGCTTTGAAGGACAAGACAGCACTACAAGTTTTGGATCTTGACTCAAACAATATTTCGTCGCTCGAATATAACCCTGAAGTACTTTTCAAAACAGAGCTCAGGCTCGTTCTGCGGAACAACAAAATCCGAACACTGACGCCAACGTCACTGAAGAGCTTCAGGAAGTTCAAGGAACTTGATTTGAGCTACAATCAAGTGAGTTGAGCTTGTGAATTTGTTTTTCAAATTTATCAGTTATTTCTGAAGTAAAAAAAAACATTAAAACAAGCGCTATTCTTAGGGTTTTATAGTTATTATAATTTTTCTAAGACTTTGAAGTGAAATTAATATACCAATCATGAAACCGTAACCATCGACGGTTCAATGTAAAGTGAAGAAGAGCAAATATCAAGAAAATTGTTTCAGCTCCATTTCAAGGAAAAGGGATACTTGTCCACAGAACCCATGCCATGCTTGAACTTCCTTCACGCTAGGGACACTTTTACCTCTTTCATATCGGATTCTTTTCAGAAATTGGCCTTGATTCTCCTCCTTTTCCTTTTCCAAGAGCCAGCTGACCTATTCGAGCTATCCCTCCCGTCTTATCCTCCGGACAATCAACAGATTCGCAGAAAGTTTTCTCAAGGAGCCGATACCCTTGAGAGGAGATACCTAAGCCAACCATTGAAAAATGGACGGGGACCTAATAAGTGTTAGTTGCAGAGTAACCGAATCGTTAATATTTGCCCTGTAACACAAGCTTCATCGACAAGCAAGATGCACATTACTGATAGTGAGCTTGGAAAGGAAACGTAGGGGCGATGTGAACGCCACCTGAGAAAAAAGGAGAGGAAACCTGTGAAGAACCCCGAAAATAAAGCTCCTTCTTGGCGGGAGACGAGTCAGGAAAGATAGATACACGTAGAAGAAAAGTGCAGAGATTGAAAAACAAGACCCTAAGATAGAATAGGGTACGATATAGATGCAGACATGACCGCATTTATAGCGCTGGGCGGCCGAACCGCTCAAATTTGTGAGGAGTTGATGCCCTTTCAAAACGATTTCGAGTTGTAGAGGTGATAACACTTCTGCAAATGTGGACGCGCTAATTCATGGAATATTGCTACACTCAGCGCAATCATGAAATGTGCCCTTGACTCATCAATGCTGTGGTGATTTCGAATGTGGAAGCATCCCAGGCAAGCTAAACATTCAACGCATGAGAAAAACAGCACTTTTCAGATATCCAGCATTTCTTCTTCTGCATTCGAAAGCATCAGCCAAGTGAAAACCCTCGATCTCAGCTACAATACACTTGCCTATATTGCTCGCGGGACGTTCAAAAACCTAGCGAAAAACCTCGAACGACTGAATATCGAAGAAAACATCTTCCATGCGGTTCCAGCGGCACTCAGCGATCTCAGAAACTTGACTCATCTAAGTATGAACGGAAACAAATTGACTAAGTACGTTTTAATAAACCACTTTGAATAAAATCCATTTTTACAACGTTTTCTAGGGTGGATGAGGAACCTTTCGCAGGGCTGAAAGAGGTACTCATCGATCTGTCACTCGCGTACAATCGGCTCAAAATTATTCCTACGAAAGCGCTCAACGGGATGGTCCGCTTGCAACATTTAGATTTGTCAAAGAACAGCATCAAACAGCTCGACCGACTAGCATTCGGCACAACTGATGGTGTGGGCTCGAGTCTGGTACATCTGAACCTTGCTGGAAATCATCTTAAGATCATCGATGACCCCAGTGTATTTCTCCACATGACATCGCTAGCATATCTTGACCTTTCGTACAACAAACTGGAACAGATTGACCCTAAGACTTTTGAGAAGTTGCCAGGATTGGAAAGACTATACCTTCAGGTATGAAACTATTTTTGAGCTTCGTACAACAATCGGTAAACATGGAAATCCTTTTCAGAATAACAAACTCCAACAATTTCCCATGCTCACTGAGCAGAGAATGCAGAACTTGAGGCAACTGAACCTGGACAACAATCTGATTGGAGAATTACCCGATCATGCTCTCTACTCCACCCAGCGCTTAGAACACCTTTCTCTAGCCGGAAATCGGATAACTTCCATTGGCGACAACGTCTTTCACTCAAGTAGCTCAAAAGGATTGAAGTCGCTGAATCTCGCCGGAAATCGAATTTCAAGCATTTCGAAAAGGGCTTTTCAGCTGATGGAAAATCTTCAGGTCTTGAAACTCAACAATAACAGACTTCGCACAATTGACACTACGGTGAGATTTTTATGTTCAATATCACCTGCATGCCAAAAATTGTTTCTCATGTAAGCTTCCTTCTGTTTCGAGGAATACTTTCACATCGGGAGAGAACTAAGATGGGAAAGAGAGAGAATGGGGTGGAATAGCAGAAGGGCAAAATATACTGGTTTGATGAGTGATTGAATACCGACCTAGATGGATACTGATTAATCTCAAGTCCATAAGAAAGGTCTTGCGCCATTTGAGATTCTTTGGAGGATTCCACGATAAGGTCCGGGATCGAAGAAGGGGAAAGCTACCTGATGGAAAGTCAGGCGAACCCTTGAGGGTATCTATGGGTAACCGGCACGAATTCACAGCGAAGGAAATGCACCCAACGATCTAGCGTGGCCGTCCCCACGCCGCTATCGCCGCTGTCCGCCTAACCCGTTGCCGTGTGGATCTAGCCGCCTACCAGAGGAAGGCAGAGCGCTGGCATTGATGAGGTTAGCACCGATGAGACACGCCTAACTCATAAATCAACGGGCAAAATAGGGTCCAATTCCTCCTGTTTTCCTTGGTTTTTCTTCACCGCATCACTGACCACCACTTGATTCCTAACGGGCTGTTTTTTGTCGTCAACTTCACCTTTATGTCGAGTTCTGGAGAAACTAATTTTACGGCTGGTGTCCTCATTGTGGTTCAACAATCAGCGAAACATGTTATAAATTTCCCAACCAATTACGCCATTAAATGATATACGAACACGATCTCAAGGAGCAGCAACTCGATAGCAAGTTGGAAAAAATGACCACGCCTGAAAGTGTTTGTTGGAGCTATGGACAAAGCCCACATTTGCAAAAACAAGTGTGTGTGTGTTCGAAGTAAAGTGAGCACAAAATTTTGAGGGAACAGCAAAAAGTTAAATTGACCACTTTTCAAAAGAACTTATGGTTGGTAAGATTTTGACGAGAAAAACAGGAAATATAAGGAACCATCCGATGGAAAGTCTTCTCTAATTTCAGGTCTTTGCTGAGCTTAAAAACCTGCGGTACGTGGATCTCTCAAACAACAACATCGTTCACATTCTTCCGCAAGCTTTCACAAGTCTTCCTCTGATCGACACACTACTCCTTCACCATAATGAGATCGAACGAATCGACAAATCTGCATTTCACCGAATCGCCAGGATCGAGACATTAGATCTCAGTCACAACTTCTTAAAGAACTTCACTTGTGAACAACTCGGCTCCGTTCAGACGATATTCAACCTCAACCTCGCCCACAATCGGATCGCACAGTAGGTGTAGGATGGACTGCTTTTCTTAGTGTCCTTAATCACCATAATTACATTGCAGGACGGATCTCACATGTATTCTGCGAAGTCTCATTCACTTAGACCTCGGTCACAACGCATTAGAAACTTTCAAAAAGAGCATGATGGATGGCGCCGACAAGTTGCTTGAAATTATTCTCAGAGGCAATGGCATTCTTGAGCTGCAAGGCCAAGCATTTGCATGCTGTCCAAAGCTCTCAACTGTCGACTTGTCACACAATCATCTACGCACAATTTACAAAGACACTTTCACTAGCCAGGTAAGAAAAAGTCTAGCTGAAATATGTGCAAGAAAAAACAAAAAAAAACCAAACCTCCCCCCCCCCATCACTAGGTAGATCATTTTCATAATATTAGCACCCATTCAAGTACCCCGCTTTTCGAAAAAAAAACGAGAAGAGCGTGGGTGCAGACCATACACCACAAGGGACGACGGCCTCCAAGCAGGGTCAACCCTACGTTGTTACTAGTAACAACGGGGGGGTCGTACCTGGTTGAGTTTATAGGAGGGGGGGTCGTATCCGCTTCAGTCGCGTGAAATTACATGTGAGTTTGTGGTGAAAGTGGAGTTTTCACGAGTAGTAGGCTGGGTGAGTTGGGCGCATTGATGGTATCAGAATAAATACTATAGAGAGGATGATGGTGGGTCGAGGTGTCGAAAAGGGGGTCGTATCAAGTCCACCTTGGGGGAGGGGGGTCGTAAAAATTTTTGAAAAAGTAACAACGATAGGACCGACCCTGCCTCCGAGTAAATCTGGTTAATAGTGGTTCATAGTGATAGCTGATTTTTGGTAAATGATAGTTGTAATTAGTGACAACTGATAGAATACAACTGCAACAGGCTAATCATTTCATTGGCAGAAAACATTTACATTTTGTGAGGCCGTCGTCACTTGTGGTGCATGGTCTGCACCCGACGCTCTTCTCTCTTTTGAGAGGGAGGGTACATATACGAAAGCCAATCCTTTTCGTACGCTAGTTTCAAATACGCTAATGAGAGGCCTACATCGCTTTGCGTTTCTTACTCGCGGGCGCGTACGCTGCAATTGCATGAGTTATCGGGCCATGATGTGTTAAGTTGTCCCATAAGTAGTGTCAATTTTTAGACTGAAATTTTCTTAGAGTTTTGCGTTTTTTCGTCACGAAGGATTTTAAAATTTGATCTGCTCTGCAAAACATCATGCTTCACTTTCATATTCTTTGCAGAGACCTTAAATGTTGGGCTCGCATAATGGAAGGTCCGGTCGATGAAAACTAGCCAAATCGACAAAAATTCCATTGTACTATATTTAGGAAAAAAGCATCAACGATGTACCCTCTTCACAGTCACGACCTCTTTGGAACATTCAGTAATTAAAGGCAAGAATCAGGATTAAATTGACTCCTCTCAAATGTGAAAGTAGGGATGGGAGGTGGACCGCCAGTGGAGAAAAAAGGAAAGAAAATCCTGAAATACACAGGAAATACGAGCATTTTGCTCCATGCTGTGGAGAAGTTCAAAAGACAGGCAGGGAGATGAGAGATAATGTGAGCGCGGAGAGTGGTAGAGAAGTCCGAGAAGAGAGAGCATAGCAGATCAACGTGGCGACGCAGACAAGATATCGAACGGTGGGCGGACCATGTTAAGTTTGGTGGAGTCTGTTAGAAGTCCATGGCGCCTAGGGTCCTAGTGACGCGTTTCGATGTAGAAAGGTGGCGCTACCTTTGCACTTGCGTACCCAGCACTTCTAGCCATGGTAAGGGCTTCTTAGGTGGGTCTGAGCCCAAACTTTGCCTTAAATTGTCGAAAAGCGTTGTCGTGCTTCTTTGCTTCTTGCCGAGTGTGATGGTGGTCCTAGTTTTCATTGCCTCGGTTGTAACAAATTTTGGGTTTAGATTTGATGAGATAGTGGTTAACCATGCAGTTCCAACGGAAAAACCAAGTTCGAAAGGGAACACACATGGCTGTTTCTATAAAATTGATAACGGAATGTGCAGAAGAGGCATAAATGAGTGGAGAGTACATGGTTGATGGATATGCCAAGGAGAAATAGTTAAGCTTGATTGTCGGTTGGCAGCTTTCATCGGATAGACCTCCGAGTCACAGACCTAAAGTTTGAATCTCTGCAAAAGAAAGCAGAACAGACAAATTTTCCGCCGAACAGAACAAATCTTTCGAATATGATATGATGCGCAAATCGAGTCTTCGTGTAAAAATTCCTTTTCAAAAAAACAAGACAAAAATTCCAACACTATTCATGGGACGACCTGATAAATTAGCAAGGGATAGCCATATAAGATTTTCAGAGTTCTCTATATCATTCATAAATTGGGCAGATTCTGCGAACCATAGTAGTCAATTAGGAAACTTCATCCTTGTCTATATGACAGAGCTAAAACCTTTCTTCAATATTTTAGGTAATGCAAAAAAATATTCGAAGTTTCTACTATTCTAGGAGCTTTTACATCACTTGGACATCAGCCACAATGCTCTTCAAGGCCTTCAACCTGGATGCTTTGGCAAAAATAATATCCTGTCGTTGGACGTCGCTGCAAATGAGCTCACAAAAGTGCCGACTGACGCTTTGCGGACCACATCAGCCACTCTGGCAGTTCTTAACATGGACGAGAACCTTATTCGGACTCTCGACTCGTCGCAGTTTTTCGAGCTAAGGAATTTAACGAGACTAGTGATATCACGGAATCGTATTGAGACTATAGAAGAAGGCGCATTTGAGCATCTCCCTTCGCTGAAATATCTGGATATTAGCAACAATCCCGTCAGCACTTGGAGCCCCTCCGCGTTCAGGGTTGGTATTGAACTCGAGCGGCAGGTATCTCAGTTAAATGAAGATTAGCGTAATTCCAGGATATGAGCAACACAATGGACGACCTCAATCTTGCCAACACTGGACTTTTTTCAATACCACGAATGAGTCATCACGCAATACGCCACTTCAATCTTAGCATGTGAGGAATTTTTTTTCTAATGGCGAGCTATATAGAAATGGTATTGTTCCAGGAACAAAATTTATGACATCAGTCGCTCCGATTTGGCAAGAACAGCGCACCTTCATTCTCTCGACATCTCGTTCAATAATCTCGTCCGCTTTGAACATGACGTCTTCGATGACCTTGTTAATCTCAAAACACTCAACATCAGCGGAAATCCAATCACAGAGATTCTCGGAGAACAGCTTGAATCTCTCTATCAGGTAGATCTTCTTCATGCAAAAAAATTAATATCAAACTCACTATCAAAACCACAACAACCCACAAAACTCATGGAGTGGAACCATTCGATTGTATCCTTTGGACGCAGTAAGAGGGGCTACAGAAGACATGGATCATAATTCGCATGAACTCCTGCTTTTGTTTGGGCCATTCTCCCATCCGAAGCTCTTTGCTCTCGCTATCCCGCCTTTGCAGAGTAACAAAAGAGAAAAAAGAAAAAGAAATCTGGGCACTATCGCAAGAGGGGGCATTGTGGTGGCGACGTATTTAGGACCATGTAAATAAACATCTCATTCATGTAAAATCGGGACTAAGCCTTAAGGACACTTAGGGGCATCAGCAATCTTGGTTCTCCCCAAAGTTCCTGCTACCTCCTAGGCTTATGATTAGTCCTAGAGGATGTCTCTGAACCTTGCAATAGCGCAATCTGCAATAAATAACCATACGTATTTTATCTTGAAACGCTCTCAATGCATGATTTGATATCATTGGTACGACTACCGCATCCTATGGAGTTCACAAATTTAGCGAACCTTCAGAACATAGAGGTAAGCTGTCTTTAATGTTTAAGAACCATTTCGAAGTTTAAAGATACTATCTAGATGTATAACCTCGCCACAACTGCACATCCATATAATGTAACTCATATTATCCAACATATGCCACCTTTGCGATCACTTCACATTGAATTTCGAGAACCAGTTATTGACACACAACTGCGAGACATTGACATGACACACGTCAGGAAGTTGACCATCACTGGATCAAACATCACAAATGTAAGTGATATCCAATTTGCCACTATCAACAGCAGCAGCGAAGTGTTAGTCTTTCCAATATTCCGTTGGAAATGAACCCAACAAAGTCATAATTGAAAGACAAGAAGGAATGAGCTCCTGAGTAACTCGATCCCTTTCGATCTCCCTTCTTCAAATTTCGAATCTAAGAACACTGAATAAATTTGCGTATACAATGAGTTGTAGAAGCTAATTGACCAGCACCTTCACTCTTCCAGAAAGAAACCTACTAAAAATAACTCGCATAAGGATGGACGGCTTATCGGCTGCAACAACAGTTCAAGACCTCATTCCCGGACCATGCGTGCGGTGTCATTACCCCGTTTCCGCTCACCGATCACTTAGCAGATTTCCCTTAGTAAAAAAAACACAAAATCAAAAAAAAAACGAAACGGAAACGCTGTCGCAATCAAAGACAAGGGGCATAACTGGAGCAGGTCATCTTGACGTCAAGCCTTGCCTAAGTCGTTCAAAATCATGCAGCAAGTTTCTGAGTTGTCATAAACTACTAATCGAGATAGGAAATGAGTATTTCGAACAATATATCTCGGATTACAAATTTATCATTTGACGATTCAGATCAGCTCGACCGCGCTTCACATGCTCCGAGGCTATCGAGTTCAGCTAACAATTCGGAACACTTCCATACAAGAATTTCCCACATCACTTCTCACTACTCTCGGCAACATATACTTTCTTTCCTTATCTCTTCCGAATAATCAGATTCGATCGATAAATCCGTTCAAAAACACAGATCAGCCATGGGTGAATCACCACGGCACAATACTAGAAGCAATCGAATTGACGGTAAGAACTCCTTACACGTTGAAAAGATCGTTCAACTATTCGATTAGTTTTTTAGGGAAATCCTCTTCAATGTGACTGCGCTATGGCTTGGGTGTCTGAATGGATTCAAACGTCACACACAAATGCTCAAGATCTCGAACAAGCTCACTGCGAGCACCAAGGAGCTTCCATCAATAGCTCCCTCACATACGTGTACAGCACTAAGTATTTGAATTCTTCGCATTGTTATCAATCGAACGGGCAATCAATTAACTCAGTGCTACCACTGATTTTGATAATATGGGTATTATTATTTGTTCTCTGGATCGACCAAAAATAAATAACTTCGAAATTCAACACGACTAAACAATAGAATCTAAGGAATTGGACGGCACTTATTGTTGACCGATTTTTTTTCCTTTTCTAACATGAACACGTTACATGGGATCACTGGTGGAAATGTACGAAGTTTCTGGCAAAAAGATTCAGTTTCCGAAGAGAACAATATTTTGAAAACCACGTTCAGAGGAGGGCCGCGGGTAGGTTGGGCGTAGACAGGGAACGCATAGGGACAAAACGATTGAAAGAAAGAAGTGTTATTGTCAGACGGAGCCGAAAAAAATTGTGAAGTCACTCTGAGTACCAAGAGGCACGGAAATATGGCGCGTAGCAGTCCTCCCAAATTCTCGAACTGTTAAAGAAACAAATACAATTTTTGCCCCTACAAAGCCAGCGAAATGTGATGGAACATAATTCTTCCGTGGACAATTCCTTTAATTACGGTAGCTAAGCGATATTTCATAGTATGAATACCCGCGTTATACTATACTATATTCACATGGACTCCGCCCACTATATTCACATGGACTGCGTGCGCACGGTCACGAACCGTCCACCTTGGAGAAAAATCGTGCGTACTAATGAACAATGCCTTAGAAGACTGCAGTTCTCTTTTTTTTTCAGCTCAGGTGTCTTGCGTTTTGGATTGAATGTATAATGTAAAATGTGTACCCCGGGGAGCACGATGCATGCACGCTTCACACAGCGACCGCCACAAGGAGACTGCCACAAGGAGACTGGCACATGCAGAATAGAATGCAAGCACTAATGAACAATGGAGCAATACTCTCAAGAATAAAGGATGGTTTAAGAATGCAGGTAGTTAACGGATATGGGTAGTTATGGGCGAAATCTGAACACATTCACAAGACGCTACTAAAAGTATAACAATTACAGTCCCTGTTTGCTAGAATAGACCGGAATACAGAAGGAACGAGAAGAACACAAGGTGACGAGGGTTCTTGAAGTGTTCAATTCTCGACAATGAGAATATGGAGAAGCAACCGATGCAGGATGACCCATGTTGATCACCGCTGACTTGATAGTATGTACCCCCACTACTTGCAAAGATCACCAGTCATCAACCATCTAACTTAAAGTTTTCTTACCCTTCACGCTCCATAGCTGAGTTCCTAACCACATAAACCGCCGTACTAATATATCTCAAAATAGCACCTGCTTATCTTGCCCAAATCCATCCTGAACAGCACTTCACTGTCGGCGCATAGCAAATCCATCTTGCTGTAGTCCATCTCTTCAGTACCTGAATTCAAACTCTACAAACGTCAAAATTTAAGAAGCTACCTTGTGAATCTGATAAAAAAACAAACCAATGACGTCAAGAACAGGTGCGAACAAAATCTTGAGAAAGTCCAGTAACTCCTCTGGTCGACAACCGCCAAGGTAGCGAAATATAGCAGCTCGCCTCGATTCGGTAAAGTTGCGCTTTGTTTGAGTCCACAGCTTCCCGTACAAAAATCTAAAATGTTTGGAAACACTTTCGGAAATTCAAAAGCGGGATTCATTTAAGAAAAACCAAATACCTAAGCAGAATATGCATCACTGTTTGTCTGTGATCCGGATGAACGATTGAATTTCCATCTTCCTCATTAATGGTGAACAAGACCAACTGTTCTCGAAACGATTTTTCATCGAGGAGTCGTTCAAAGTTTTCCCTGCAAGTAATGATTCATTTTTAAAATACTAATTTCAATGACTTTTGAGAACTTACTTGTAAGGTAGCAGTCCCTTATCTCGATAAGAAAATATACACGACAACGCCGACTTTTGCACCATATCATTGCCTACCATCAGGAGCTGAACTAATTAAAATAAGCAAGCAACCGTAAAATCGAATAATAAATAATTTGAAAGAGAAAAGGAACCCTAGAAAAGGAGAGCTCTAAGTTAACCACCATGATCGAACACCTGTTTCGACCTAAGTCTTTTTATAGCAACAAAGCACATCCAATAAAAGTGGCCCTTTTGCTTGGGAAACTGCTTCTATACTCTCACACAAGAACGATAACCGATTACTGAGGTAAAATTCATGCTTCATCAGAAAGCGTAAACTCAGGAAGCAGAATGCACTGCTTTCTAGTGAATAGGTGAATCTATCTACACTTTCAGACTGAAAACTTCATTCAAGCCTAGTACTCAAAAAGCTTACATGCTCGTACATGCTGCGTATTTTCTTCTCCAAATACACGGATTTTGCATCGTTGAACTTAGCGTAAACATCGAGAAGCGAACACAGTGCCTGAAAAAGGTGTTTTAGATGAGAATATCCATTTAATCTTCATAAAGGAAATAAAGCATTCAGAGGAGAAATCCAAAAACAACCTTTGTTGCATGCATACGTTGTTCGTAATTGGTATCTGGACTTTCCTTTGCTGTAATTACACCCATGTCTTCTGTATCGGCACTTTCCAATTGACTACCCTTAGATAGTGAACTCAAGCTCTCAACAATAAGAGGAAGGTATTCAGATCTGAAAATGAGTGCCGGAGTAGAAATATTGAAAACGGCATCAGAAGCGCGATTTTCTTACTCGTATATTTTCAAAACAATTGGAGATAGAATTCTTGTCCTCCGTTGAGCCAAGTCTGAGATAATGGCCATGAACTTGAAGATCTGAATGAAATTCTTGATTCAATGGAAAAGGATAGGTTGTTGTCAGGGGAGGACAACAACAAACTGACCTCAATTCGAGCTGAGCTGTAGTCAAATCTGTCGTCCTTATCACACCAAGGCAGAAAGAGGGTGGTAGATTCTTTCTTTTCGTGTTGCCGAGATTCTAAAGAAAAATTAAGTTGGAAAAAGTCTGAAAACTAGACATCCTCGCTGATTATCCTATAGATGATAGAAATTCCAGTTTAGAGTAAGTCTTTGTGAACCAAATAACTCCTTCTGTACCTACTGCTGCTTGCTTTTTCTGTACTCCATCATTGGTGATTTCTATCTACCAATAACATATACTTGATCTACCAAACCCAAAACATGTTGTTCATGACAGTACAACCTAGTTAAACAATATTACGAACTGACCCTTACACATGTTAAACACATACCATTTACTACACAATAATAAGGGTTTACGGACTACTTGATTTTTCCTCAATGGTCTCAGTAATTGTTAAATACCGAACTTTACGACACACAATCATTTGTTAACTGTAAACTCTGCAAGTTTTTATGCTGCTACGGAAAGCCCAATTTTATCACTCTGAGAAGTAATGCGCTTATAGGGTATAGTAGCGATAGTTTCATGATACGTGCAAGAAGACAAATACTTGAATAAAAAGGGTAATACCAGAGTTAACTTGATCGATTATTTCCACCATGACTGTCCAGAAATCATCAATAGCCATGCCACGTGCAAATGATTCCAGAATCTCGTACATTGATGGCCATAACTTTGTGAATTGAACAAAGAACTGAGCAAAACTTATTCGCAGAATGATCTATAATAGGAACATACGATGTTATGTCGACGTTCCTAGTCGTTTCAGGAAATTCAATATATGGCGTTACAATATGGCCACTGGTGTCTGCTAAACCCGGTTGTATTGCGAAATTTTGCAGGAGGTAGAGAGGTGAAAGGGTGAAACTCCAGTTCGGGGGGGCCACTCCATTTTTTCTCCAATACTCAAGATAAGGATTAGAGGGCTCACGACACGTAATCGACTCATTTAAAGTAGACTTCTGATAAATATTGGTGTAATCGAAGAAACCTGAATACCGAGTTATGCAGATAGAGG